CCCTCCTTTAAAAATAGGAGATCCAAGCCCCTTCTGTTTTGTAGCACCACCTCTGATAAGGAAGTGAGAGATTGCTCCAAGTCTGACATCATTTGCCAGAGCTGTTCCAAGTCCCTGTCGATTGCTAGCCTTAGTGCCGTGAGCCCTTGCTCTCGTGTTACTAAGGCTGTGATTTCTGTCCCTGCTCCAGCTATCCCCATGGAGAAGAGAGTTCCGATGGTTAAGGCAGTAATGGGTTCCCTCTTCTTTCGGAGTGGACTCTGTTTTTCTTCCCAATAGGAGAGGAGGGATTCATGAGAGTGGTATGAAAGATGGGGCAGAATGGCCACAAGTACACAAAATTCATTATTAGCATTAAATACAGAGGTGGATAGGGCTGGGGTGAGGCCTGTTTTTGAACAGAGCCACCAGCCCGAGGTGGGTATAATCCACTTTCCCTGCTCCCATGGGGTGTTATTGTATGAGGAGCATAACTGGCTTTGGGATGTTGGAACTGTGCCTACACACGTGCAAGAGGCTGAGACCTGAGCAAGAGTAAGTCCCCATGGTCTCCCGTCCCAATAGGTGGGATGAGAGTTGTTGAGAGTATAGGAACTATTTATCCTGATAGCCTCATAAAAGGGTGGGGATCATGGGTAACACAGCCAACATGGGTCAGTGAGGGAGGGAGTGGTATGATTAAGGGTCTCTACTACAGCTGGCACCATCTCCCACATAGGGTTGCTGGAAGTCTATGATTCTGCAGCCATCCCCGGCCTTTCCGTGGCTGGGGCTGCTGATGTCATTGTGGTGCCTGATGGCTTGAAGGTGGGCTTAGGAGACCCAGGCAGGGGAGGTTGGGGCCTCAGACGAGGGGTATTTAACACCAGGTTAGGTCCTACCGATGACCTAACCACTGCCTCAACCTGGAGGTAAATCTGAAACAGGACCCCCCTCCATGGCGTCTGGTAGGGCATCAGGCCCCATGTCAGCCCATCTATCCACCTTTTATAATTTTTTCCCTTTGAGGTAAAAGTGATTTTAACCTGGTTGGCCAGTGGAGATACTGTCCATTGGTTGTATGGAGAAGTAAACCTCATATCAATCAGGTCAGGGGAAACCCCCCATCTCCACTGCCCATCATTAACTTCTACACAATTCCATTCAGTGGAGTAGAGTCTATCAGCACCCCCACAATTGCGCCTCCACCAACCTGTCCAAAAACCTGGGCAAGCAAAGAACCCATTTGCCCGCAAAGCTTGGCGGTTGAGGGAGTGTGGATGATGAGTCAATCAAAGCCCGTTTTTTCATATGATATTGTTCCGGGTGTTTTTTTCTGGGGGAGGTAATAAAACTGCCCCAGTACAAGTTCTAAGTCAACATACAGATCTGGCCACCATGTCCACAACGGGGCCATATGAGAGGTGCGGTTCCATTCCTCATAGGCATCACTGCTTCGCAGGATCCATGTCTGACGTACCGGTTAATGGGGGTTGATGCTCTGGGCTCCCGCTGACACCACTGTTCTCTGGAGGGTCCATAACAGTGAGCTCATCAGC